GTCTCTCAGGGGGTGGAGATGCAGTGAGATCATGGGGCACTGGGCTGTCCCTGGGGTCTAGAGAGGTGGTGGGATTCGCTGGGGGTGGGGTCTCTCTGCAGGACACAATGAGTTTTGGGGGTGGGAGCTCCACGCTAGGGGTCCTATCTCCCCAGAAGTGTAGCCCCTGCATCCTCCCCCCGTTCCTGCTTCTCCTATCCCGGTTCCTCCCTGTTGGCCCAGCTCCAGGCAGTGCCCCTCCCCCCATTTTTCTGTACTACCGGGGCACGGACACACCAAAACCGCTGTTTGCTCCGCTCCCATGCACAGCTCTCCTACCTGCCTGTGGGCGGCAGGGCTTTTCCAGCAGCAGCCAGGACAATCGGGCTATGCCATGGTCCTCAGCAAATGCAGCATCCCAATTTTCCCTCAGTCTCAAACTCCCTGCGCCACCCCTCTCCTGCCCCCCACCTCAGTGTTAGGGGTCTGCTCCAGACCCTCCCCTCCTGTGCGGCTGCAAAGGTGTGACTATTCCCAGAGAGGTGGCCATTGCCTGGACTTGTGTCATTCTGGGAGGCAGACTGGCCCAGAGATGCCATTAACCCTGGTCATTATTCTACAGTGAGGGGCCGTAGGACCAAAGGGGAACCCATGGGAGGGGGCGCCCTGGGGACCCAGCAAGGATATGCTAGAACAGTGTTTCTCAATCAGTGGTATGAGTACCCTTGGGGGTACTCGAGAGAAGTCTGGGGGAGGGGCGCGGTACATCAACACAGCTGAAATTTTAAGAAAACTGAATTTGTGTTTTAAATTTGACAGCGCTTTATTATTTTTGTACTTTTTACACCCAAAAATGTTATAAAGGGGTAATTTATAAAAAAAAAAGGTTGAGAAACACTGCGCTAGAAGACCTGGTCCCAGTGGCCAGCCTTGGAGCCCATCCAAGCGGCATGACTCGCTCCCAGTGAGGTTAACCTAAGGGAAGCGGGACAAGCCACACCACGTGAGACTGAGGGTTTTGATTGCCAAAGAGCAGACTTGGGGAAATGAAGGTGCCTGAAATCCGCTGGGCTGACGCGCTCAGGCAGTGAAATGCAGAGGATGCTTGGGACTCCTGTATCGCCTCTTCCCCCATCCTATCTTCCTTCCTCGTGGCCCCCTGCCCCATCCTCTCCCCTATGCCACCCCTCTTCCCCCGAGCTCCATCCCCTCCCTGGCCCTGCCCCACCATGGGCATTCACAACTGTACAGAAAGCAGGGCGGCTCCCACAAAAGAGATGGGGGGAGGGCGAGACCTGCAAATACTATAATATCAATAGTGTTCATCACCAGGCCTGATGGTGGGGGCGGCAAACTGCCCCAGGGCCCGGTGATTTAAAAGGGCCCAAGGTGACTGGCCGCTGCTGCCACATTGCTGCTGGAGCAGTGAGTGGTACAATCCAGGCAGCACTTAGGGCTGCCAGGGAAGGGGGGGGGGGCACCATGTGGCACACTCCGGGCAGTGCTAGGAGGGGGAAGCGCTGTGGTCCAGACAGAGCTGAGGGCTGGCTGCTCTTGCCCCACCCCTTCCACCTGAGGTCCCACCCCTTGCAGGAGTGCAGAGCCACTCCCCGCCTTGTCCAGGGGCCCAGCTAAGCTGTCGACTCCCCTGTTCATCAGCATACAATATTGACAGGATTCCACTGGGGATGTTAATGGGTAACCAGTTAAATGGTTAATCAGTACCTGGGAGTAGCCCCAGGGACTGGGGGGGGAGGGGGGACCATGCTTGTTGATGCCTTCAAAGGACACTAGTAGATCAGTTCAGAAGATTCAGAAAAGAGCAACAAAAATGATGAGGAGTTTGGAACGAGTGCCATACAAAAAGAGATTGAAAAAAGACTGGGACTTTTCATCTCAGAAAAGAGGAGACTAGGGGGGGAATATGATAAAATCATGACTGGTATGGAAAAAGTGAATAAGGAAAACTTATTTACTTGTTCCCATAATATAAGAACTAGGGATCACCAAATGAAATGAATAGGCAGCAGATTTAAAACAAACAAAGGAAGTATTTCTTCACTGAGCATACAGTCAACCTGTGGAACTCCTTGCTAGAGGATGTTGTGAAGACCAGGACTTTAACAGGGTCCAAAAAGAGCTAGGTAAATTCATGGAGGTTAAGTCCATCAATGGCTATCAGCCAGGATGGGTAGGAATGGAGTCCCTAGCCTTTCTTTGTCTGGAAATGGATGACAGGAGAGGGATCGCATGAGGATTACCTGCTGTGTTCACTCCCTGTGCGGCATCTGGCACTGGCCACTATGGACAGACAGGATACTGGGCTAGATGGACTGTTGGTCTGATCCAGTATGGTCATTCTTATGTTCCTTTACAGAAACCATGTTGGTTTTTCCCCAACAAATTATGTTCATCTATTTGTCCAACAATTCTATTCTTTACTATAGTTTCAACTCATTTGCCCAGTCCTGACATTAGACTTACCAATCTGTAATTGCCAGGATCACCTCTGGAGCCCTTTTGAAAGATATGCGTCAATTTCGCTATCTTCCAGCCATTTGGTACAGAAACGGTTTTAAAGGATAAGTTACAACCCACAGTTGTTAGTTCTGCAATTTCACATTTGAGTTGTTTCAGAACTCTTGGGGGAATGGCATCTGGTCCCGCTCATTTGTTACGGTTAAGTGTATCAATTTGTCCCAAAACCACCTCTAATGACACCTCAATCTAGGGGCAATTCCTCAGATTTGTCACCTAAAATAATGACTCAGGTTTGGGAATTATATAAAAGGTGGGCTAAGAGAGACATTTTTAGAAAAGCTTTAAATACAAGGGTAGGTGAAGAAAAGAGCAGTTAGAGTTATTTTGAAATTAAGAGAAAGCATGGCTGAAAAAAGGGAATTTAAAAATATTTTATAAAGTGGAGAATGTTTAGTGAGCACATGGTCAAAAACTTGAGTGAAAAGGCTTATTATATAAACGTAGACTAAGAGAAACATTTAGAAAAGCTTTAACTACTAAATATAAGGGCAGATAAAGGAAAGAGATCTTTTAAAATATGGAGAAAGAGCACATGGAAGAAAAAAGGCCAGGAAAGAGAGGGGAAGATAGCTCTTTGCAAATGGCTATGATCGCAGCTCGGGGCTGAGGGAGGAATAGATCTAAGTATAGAAATGCAGCCAGGGAGGAAGAATGGCAACAAGCGTTAGCTTACCTCCAGCTGTCCCTGAGGAAAGACAGAGCTCTCAGGACTCACAACCCCTCCGCATAATTCTGCCGGTCTCTGGGCCGGACCAATCCGAAGCCGTTCTACAGCTGCACCACAGAATGCATTTTCCTGAGCCAATCTTCTAGTCTTAAAATTTATAAAAAGTCATCTGCCTCTACTTCCCTCACCCCTCCCTTTAACTGTCCTATTCTTATCTTTAAAAAAAAGACACTCCCTCTCCCCCCCCTGCCCTGATCCTTCCTGCCTGTTAGCACTTTTACATCTGTGTTTCAATTTAAAAATAGTCAGCACAAACATCCCAAGGCTAAAAGCCGAGTAACAAATTGTTTATAAAAGCTTTTCCTCCTGATTTCTTAGAGAGGATGATTTGAAGCAGCAGGCGCTTACAGCAAGGTTGCTGATAATACGCTGTGAGCCAGCAGATTAGAAAGGCAGCGGCTGCTTCTTTTCTCTCTTTTTAGCAAACACAAATGAAAGTGATATTATATTCTGCATAGGAATAAACACTTCCAAAGACATTAGCCATTTTGCCACAATTTATCAAGGGCTGTGGAGGATTTTCAAGATGGGGTGTTTTGGTAAAGATCTGCTCTAGGAATCTCTCCTTCCCGCCTCCCTCGCCCTGGTCCTGTCTATATTTCTCCCACCCTCTATGAACAACCCTTCTCAGTCACTCTAAGCACATATTTCCCTCTCCCACAAATCCTCTGTTATCCTTGTGGGGCCAGGGTTCCAGAGAAGCCGACAGACTAGTGTTTCTCAACCTTTTTTTTATAAAGTACCCCTTTAAAAAAAATTATAAGTACCCCCAGTACCTACAGTTTTCAGACACACAACATTT